GGAGGAAAGCAAGCCCTTGTTTTGACAGAATAGAGGCAACCGTTGGGTGACCTGCACCACATCTTTCACGAGCAACCGGTACAAGATAGGAGAAATAGCTATAGACGAGGTCAAGATTGCGTTGATAAAGGTGAATTTCGGCCACAGTCTCCACAATTGTGACTAAGAAGTCTAACGAAAAGTTTGTATTTGTACTACTATCAATAAGTTCCTTCAGCCCTTGCAAGGTCGAAATCTTAGAATCAATAAATGCCGTGGCCCCACGAGAGGCTTGAAGTATCAAACAAACTAAGCGGATTTTTTAACAAAACGAAGGTTAAAAAACCCTCGCTTAGGTGTAATTTTGTTTCACAAAATTCTTTTAAGTTCTCAAGTTCGTCCAAAGCTTTTCTAAGATTTCTGTTATCCAAAGAGGTTACGGCCTTATTGTAATCAACAACTGCAGTGATTCTTGGTTGTATGGCAAAGCGGCTTACATTAGAAAGGAGATCGTTTTGTAATTGAATGTCAGTTACATGACTTCTTTGAGCCTGATGCACTAGTCATAAGTTGTTTGTTATTGATGATATTTTCTCTTCCACAGTGACACACACTTTTCCTGTTTTGAGTACTTTTGAGTACCTTTGCTAAAATACACGCAACCTAAGTTGTCAAGGGCAACTCCAAGGCTAATAATTGATTCTTCGTCTTTAGCATTCTCAATGTACACCATCAACTGCTCAAATACTTTCTCAGCTCTATCAACACAAATCGTGATTAAAGCAACAGCACCAACTGCATTGACAAATCGGACAGGGAAGTTGTTTTTAGGAGTTGTTTGGGAAAACTAAATTGCTCCAGTTCGAAGAGTCCACGACACATTATCTATTTATATTTTCTCTGCCTTGTTTACCATCTCTATCTCCTATAAGTGGGTTTGGATAACTCACTTGGCATCAGGTCCTGGAAATACTGGTGAGTTTTTTGTAATGACTCTTCTACTCGAACTAAGTCCCCCTGTTGCAGATAGTTAACCGTTAATTTAAAGAATTCAGTTCTGTTTGGGGGATCCATTTTCCTTGTTTCTAGGATTAAGAAAAGAGCTAGTTCATTTAGAGTAAGTTCCTGTAACTTAAATGACAGTGATGGTGATATTGATGGTTGTAAAGTTTATCTACAGATTTCTTTGCTCCACCATAATATAACATTCCTTCTCATTTAAAACAGTCGGACAAAAATGGAAACATGATGTGAAACGATCCTTGAAAGAGTCCTCTCCGTTTTATTTTTTTCTTTTATACGTATTAAGGGACTAGTCATTGTGGAATTAGTCGTTTAAGACAGAGTATAAAGGGGGACTTGGAAAATTGACTGTAAATCAACCAACCGGCCCCCCTCCCCCCCGTGATAAATCTTGACAGGTCCTTAAACGACAGGTCCACGAATCTACACGACTTACATGTCTTACATTTCGCGTGACTTTTTGTCAAGTTGTCTCACCCGTTAAATGAAAAAAAAAAAAAAAAAAAAAAAAAAACGAAGGTCTGAAGGGAAGTACTTTTCTGATCAAGCCGCTAGGAAAACAATATGTGTTTTCCAAAGAGTTAGGGTTGACTAGACTCGTATTTGGCGAACAAACACAAGAGGAAGTTTCTTCGTTCGAGCCCGTCCACGATTAGAATCCCACTACTCAGTTGTTACGTGATATTGGTAGCGAGCCCGTTGGTTATGGAAGTGAAGTGGATATAGTTGTCTAGACATTATTATTCTTATGTACATACCGTTCCGTCACCCCATGTCGTCCAACATTCCTGAGTTTGGTTACATTTGGATCAGTTGACAGGACATAACCTACAAACACGAGAAACCGAGCGAAAAGCTTTAAGATACTCTTGTTTGAGAAGGAAAGAGGTCCCCTCATAGAGTACTATACAGTTTAAGAACATTGGCTCGCTGATTCTTTTTTGGATGGAATGTCATAATGCGATCTACTAATAGTGTTTATATTTAATCATGTCAAAGGGCTGTCAATGGGCAGTGGATCGTGAACAATTAGTACGCTAATCAATCATTTTATGATTCAATCTGCTAGTCGCAATATAGCATATGATCACGTGAGCTTACTGATCTTTCAGCAGAGCATGAAATTTAGTTACCACACCACATCGTCCACAAGCGGACATAAAACTGAAGATTATCACTTGCTTGTGAAACACTAAAGTGAACTTTCTCATAACATGTTTTAAGAAGGCAATCACGGAAACGTACGCAGAATTACAAGTCAAAAATTTAGTAAGCGTCTGTTCCAATTTTTTAAAAGTTTATTACTCCGTTCGTCCGTTTTCTCAGAACGCATCAGCAACCTCCGGCCCAGTTCAGTTACATCTTAATAAAGAACGCACTTACACAGTTTGTTAATTATTCTACAGCACATATTCCAATCTAAAACCAAGGGTATATTGACACCAAGTGTGTTACACTCTCATACATGTAAGCAGGTATAGCTCTGCATTGTTGTTTATAGCCCTGTATAGCTGTGTATAGGCCTGTATAGCCGTAAATAGCTGGGTATAGCCGTGTTTAGCGGTGTATAGCCTTGTATAGCTGTGTTTAGCTCTGTCTAGCTATGTATAGCCCTGTATAGCTGTGTATAGCTCTGTATAGCCGTGTATAGCTGTGTACATCTCAGTATAGCTGTGTATAGCTGTGTGTAGCTGTGTATAGCTCTTTATAGTTGTGTATAGCCTCATATGGCCCTGTATAGCTGTGTATAGCTCTGATTAGCTGTGTATAGCTCTGTATTGCGCTGTATAGCTGTCTATAGCTTGTTTTGCATTGTATGTGTGTGTGGGATATTATATGTAAAGTATGTGACGTTATATGTAAAGTATGTGACGTTATATATATGTAAAGTATAGGACATAGTATGTATTGGGGACATAATAATTACCCATACATGACCTACCTACTGGTGGATGGCATCTGATGCTGACCCGTTAAAAAAGTTAGACGGAAATGTCTTAGCGATTTACTTCGTATCCATCTATTAGTTTCGCCAACAAGTCATTTCGCCAACGGTCCACGGTATATAAACGGCTGCGACATCTACCCAATTTATTCATCTTAGCATGAAGATCACTCGATACCTAAATATCAATAGTGTCATACGAAATGGAAAGCCGAGAAAGCTTGATGGACAACCGTAAGTTTTACCTTGCCTTCTCTCTCAAAATTCGGCTAGTTCTTTTCTCAGGCATCCGGCGCGATTTCAAATTGCGACGTTGTCGTTTCTGTAAGGGATTGAGAAATCACTCTTTTCGATTTCTTTTTTTTTCATAACTAATGTGATTTTTGACGTTTATTCTAGGTAACGATTGTCTCACCGAGTCTTCAATTGCTAAGCCACTTCTAGGCTACTCCTCTGACAACCCTATCGGAACTTGCCTTATAAAGGAAGGGGGAACCAAACGTAAGAAGCCTATGTTGGTCGATAGTAATGGATACTCCTAAAACATAAATAAACGGAGTAAAACCGCATGCACAACTTATTGGCAATGCACGCACCGTCCTAACATCAAGACCAAGCGCTGTAAAGCCGCAGTTACGCAAACAGATGAGGAATTCCGAGCTAGGCAACATGAGCATAATCACAAGCCGAAGGAAACAAAGAGGCAGACGAAAAAGTTGAAGTCAGCTAAGGCGATAGTGACCGAGGTAATTACAACACTACATTAGCAAATACATTAGGCGGGCAAGCGAAAATTCTAGATCTCAGATGGTCTTCCAGTCTCTTTAGAAAAAACTGACTAGAAACGTTTTCGAAACGATTGTTGGCGAAGCGCCTCGTTGGCGAAGCGACTCGTTGGCGAAACGAGTTCTAGAAAATTTTAGTTTTCGCGAATGTGATTAATTTTTTTGCAATTTCCTCGTTACCCTACAACTATTCCCTTACACTACCTTCCAAGTGCTTATTTACACCAAACTGCACTTTTAATCATTTTGTTGCTTATACTTTATCTCATACTATGTTGAATATGTTGAATTTGTTCTTTACCAAGAAACCTGACTCAGGAACACGGAACTTTCCTACAGGTGATGATGGCTTTCTTTTAGAATTTTTGATATTTTTATTAAAAAAATACTCTGTTTTAGCATGTAGAGTGGTATGTTGTTTGCACCAGTCAGAACACCTCGTAAAGGTATTTATTTAGCACCAGTCATATCGCAGCATTAGGGTAACTATGTATCTTGCACGAATCAGATTGTGGCTTTAGGGTATTATCTTTTACCAATAATATCACAGCATTTGGATATCATTTGGATTTTGGGCTCATTTGATAAGTGTTATGTTTGTGGCCTTTGCAAGAGCCCTGTCGAGTGAGGTTGAGACTAATTAGGATATCAAAGGATTACATTTATTTTAATTGTAAGTGAAAACATGTTTTTTCCACTCCTTTTCTCACAATGCATTTGCCAAACAACTCAAATCAGAACATACCCAATCATTGCATTACATAAACATTAGGCAATTTTTCTTGTGCTTGAATTGTATTCTACCAATCAAATTTGACTTTGACACATTAGACTTACATTGGTGTAGTGATGAGCATATTTACTTGCTTTGAACTTATTAGCTGATATTAATTTTCTAACTCGAGATTTAGGGATTGTTGGAAACGCAGAAATGTGGTTGAAACCACGCAAGAGCGATGTTTTCATAAAACCTACACGGAGTCCTTTGGAGGTAAAGAACTACCTTGTATACGCCAATAGAATGGTGCCCTTCTGTACTATTACTTAAAGGACAATGTAGTTTGTGATGCATTTTTTTACCTTTTCCTAATGTAATTCTGTTAGTTGTTTGTTATCATAGTTCAGAATAAAGGGTAAATTAAAGATTGCATTTCAATTTCAGCAATTACTTTGCGTGCCTTTTTTTGTCTGTCTGTGATGTGTAAGTTCAAGTTTGAATAGGGTAAAAACAATTATTTGTTGACACTGAATTTGTTTCTCACAATTTCAGGGAGGAGTCCCCTGCCTTTTCACCTTCTACCCTGACCTGCCATCAGTTGTTAAAGTGAATGCCATCTTTGGTAATATAGCACCAATTATGCTAGAGAAGACAGGTCTTGGCTATCAATGTATACTTCCAGGTTTGTAAAATTATTAACTAGACTAGTTATATTAGTTATAATAATTTTACCAACCAGGAAAATGTTTTGAAATTAACCCTTTTATAACAAAGATTCAAAAGAGACAACATTAATTTTGGGTGTTTATTGACTTATAAATTCAGTTACCTTTTTTAACTATACAGTATTTTTATCATTTTTTCTACTTAAGGGTAAACATCCTATGAGCATTGTTTACTTAAAGCAGTGTTGTGTAGATGAAAAATAATTGCTTACAATTACTGGCTTTCTTGAAATTGGGGCTTTTATCTAGTAGCTGGTGGCAACTGAAGTTAAAAAATAATGTACAAAACTAAGCAAAGTCCAAAATCAAGTTGCAAAAGCCCTGTTATACGATAAAGCTCTCACTGAAAAGCAAGTTTGCTTCAATTCATCATCAGCAGCATGCAGTTCGTATTTTTAATCCCACTACTAGTTTAAAAAAATTGGGTGGTTATTTAAATGGGACAAACATATGGGATTCTGCTATGAATGGTTGTCTTTCAAAACTACCAGTTATGGTTACTGTAATTTCTCTTTGTGGTAGTAGATATGATTACATACATTATCATCCATGAGATTTTTTATGAGGACATATATCACTGTTTATGGAGGTATTTCAATGCCTTTATCACCATTTTATCCATAGCCATACCTAACAGGAAACCTGATGACATTCCAGTCAAGTTAGTTTCAATGAATCCAGAGTTTATTGTAGCACAGACTTCTTTAAGCTACCGTGAAGAACTGTTTGTGCAGCCTGAGCCTGGAGCCCATGGTAGTGGAAGAAGGGAAGATGGAAGCAATGATGGCAGAGCCAGTGGAGGTGGGGCCAGTGGAGGTAGAGTTAGTGGAGGTGGAAGTAGTGGAGGTGGAAGTAGTGGAGGTGGAAGCAGTGGAGGCAGAAGTAGTGGAGAAGGGGCCAGTGGAAGTGGAGCCATTGGAGGTGGGGCCAGTGGAGGTAGAGTTAGTGAAGGTGGAAGTAGTGGAGGTGGAAGTAGTGGAGATGGAAGCAGTGGAGGCAGAAGTAGTGGAGAAGGGGCCAGTGGAAGTGGAGCCAGTGGAGATGGGACTGGTGGAACTGGAGAAGGTGGATGTGGAGGAAAGGGATGTGGAACCTATGGAGGTGGAGCTATTGGATGTCAATACAGAAGAGGTGAAACACAAACTTTTAAAACTATTAGTTTATTTATTGGAATTGAAACCAAATTCCCACTTACTGGTATTGATTAGTAACAATAACCAACAAACATTAAGGAATCTCAAAAAAAGCATAAAGGGGTAAGTTTCTAAATAAACTGTGGTGCTGTGTAAGTGGGAGAGTATAACAAGGTAATTTGACCCCTTGCTAAGTTTAAGTTCTCTATGTAGCACTCACATTATGACAAATGAAAAGTCAAAAAGTGGCTCTCACTGCTGCTTTTTTCAAGGAACTTGGTATCATCAGCAGAATTTATAAGTTAACTTAAATTGGCATTTGTTTCATAGCTTCGTTTCCATAGTTTTGTAGCTGATGTTTTGAGGGTTGGTCCTTTGTCGGAGCAAATGACAAAGGGCTAATGCTCAAAATGCCAGCTTTTCAAAGCTCCTAATGGTGGCCAATTTACATCATCAACTCTGTTGATAATACCAAATTACTTAAAAAAAACAGCAGAGTCAATTTTTGACTTTTCATTTGTTTATAGTCTGAGTGCTTCTTAGAGGACTTGAAATAAGTAAGGGGTGTGGGAAAATGGGTGAGAGATGTAGTTTCTGAAATCACTGAAGGTGAGTATCTGCCCAAGTGAAGTTTACAGGTGTGAGTTAAATTTAGTTTTGAGGTACATGTAATATTTCCTTATTTTGTGTTTTTTTACCTCCCACTATGATAAATGATATAAGAAAAAGATAGTAAAAAATAGTTAAGGCTAAGAATAAATTTGAATCACAACATTTTTTCTGGCTAGGATTTCAAAAAGAAAAAAACATCAATTTGATTTTTTTTCATATTATCAATCTCATTTTTAGAAAGCAGTGATTCTCATATTTCTTTTTGATTGTGTTAAATTCAGATGCTTCTCAACTAGGCTCAGATGTAGAGTCAGAATTGTGCGAGTGTCTAAAAAAATGTGGTTAAATTTCAAAATAATTTTGTAAAGCAAAAGGTAGAAGTACATTTATTGTCAACTTTTGGTATTTTTTAATGTACTTTTACTGTGGCTAAGTTCTTCTCACACTTAAATTTTCATGTAAAGTGTTCCTTCTCACAGCATGTACTGAATCTGAGGAGGATTTGGAAGATGGTCAACTGTCATGCACTCAGGAAAACAAAGAAAACTATTTTTCTGACACAGAGGATTGCTCTTCATCTGAAACTGATAGTGCTTTCTCTGATTCAGAAAGCTGGGATGAATCTTTAAGTGGTGAGTTATTTGTATTCAACTGTGTCATTAAATTTAAATTAATTTGCTTTCCTTGAGTATACAATAATAATGAAAATGTGACCATGTACAAAATGAGCTATAATTTAAACTATGAGTAGGTAGGGAGCAAATGACATAATGATGTCCCTTGTTCACAGAAAGGATAGTGAATTTTGATCGTTGTTATCATTTCATCAAAAGATGTAAGGAGAGGATGGAAATCTGGTGTTAAGGTACACTTTGGGCTTTGCTTTCGTTTTGAAATATGTGTTGATCTCATTAAAACCATGAGAAAGCAAAACAGGTTTTCAGTGGTAAGTGCACCTCTAACAAAACGTTTTGCTTTTCAATGCATAATTCTCCACTGAGTTTTAGTGCTCCAGTTCATCAATGGTGTCTTTTCTCCAAATTGCTGGGAATTTTTATTCTAGGCACTATGATTAATAAATCAAAGTCACTCATGATTATAAATCTTATTTTAATAATTCTGTCTCTTTGTCTAATGATATATGGGGTGACTTTTATTTTGATCTTCTTTTTCCAGATTCTTTACTTTCATTCCTCTGGGTGAATTCAAGCAAATCTCAAGGAACCATTCCTGAAACAGAATCAACTCAATTGTTAGCATCACATGATGATACCCCAGTGCATTGTCTTGATGCTCCTGATCTTAATGTGGAGAATGCAGAAAGCCAGTACCAGGATAATGAGCTTTTTGAGACACTTCATGCAGAAAGTGCTAAACCACAAAATTCAAAATCAGTTCTTTCTGGAACTTCAAACCAGCAATCAGCAACCTGTGCTGGATCAACTACTCAATCTCAGGCAGCTCAATCTCCCGTAAACAGCCCTTTGTGGAATGGAGACAGGAAATTAAACGTGGCCCCTCCACAAGATAGTGATGAGGAAATACACTCAGGTCAGGAATGGGAAGAATCAGGTAAATATTATGATGCAAATGAACGTACAATTATTTTTATCTCCCCTTGCTGAAATAATCATTTGTATGCAGATTAAAATTCAGTGTTGACAAATTCCTGTTGTAGGCCGTAAAGTAATTTTTTTAATCTATTGGAAGAATTAGTTACACAGAAATGGTCATAGTCAATTTTACACGTATGTCTAATTTATACCATTCTGGGGTTATTTTGGTAGAGATCTGGTTTTAAATTCTGTTAATTACCCGGAAAGCAGACCATCTACACAGATTTCTGTCTATTGCCTACTTATCAAGTTTTTCGAAAATTGTGAATAACGGCAGTGACTGCGATAAACAAGCATTTTATCCTTCTCATGTTAAGGTAGTAATGTAATGCGTTGTGCGCAACAGGAATAGTTAAACCCCCGATTCAACCTGAGACATCTGAATAGATGTTTACAGAGTAGATTTTTCTTGTGAGCAAATTTACGACGATTTGACACACTACGCCCACGCTTTCAAACTTCAATCCTTTCATCGCGGAGCGTGTAACCTACTTGAGGCTAACATTACACTTCGAGCATCACACCTGACAACATGACCTTATGCCAAAAAACTATGCTCAAAATGTTTCATCACGCTCAATTTAATGATTTAAAACAAAGAGTCTTTTAAGAGTCCCTCAACCTCCCTTCCCTATTCCTTCTACCAAAACAGCTAAAACTTGCTGAGAATATAATGATTACCAAAGTTCAGTACATAACATCTAACTGGATCAAATTCTTGAAGTGCAAACAAGATTAGCAGGCTTAGTGATGACACTATCCAGGTTACGTAATTTATATATTGTTGAACATCAAGGGAATTTATAAGAAGTTTAGTAAGTATGAAAAGTGAGACAAGCGCTTTGTCTGATCGAAATCTCTCAACCAAGCAAACCACTATTACTTTCGGTAATTTATTCCCGGCCACCAGGGATTTAGTTTCAGTGTTATATATTGGTTGGTGAGTTTTCTAAGTGGAGCCTTCCAGCTGAAATTTCATAACAGAGTGGAGCTGCAAAGCTAACCTTCTTGGTATACAAGACTAAGACTCGTTGATTTTAACATGTATAGCAATGGATTTGAGTTGCAAGGCCACCCTAGAAGGCGCTAGCACGCCAGGGCAGAATGCAATATGCAACGGTTTTTAAAGAAGCCCACGACATAGATGGTTCGCGAGCCTGTGAGTCTCCACGCTCCTTTGCCCACGGCGCTGTAAACGGAATAATATTGTTCTTTCTGCCTAAGCATGTTGTGAACTATCACGTTACGCTTCAATGATAGCTAAGAACAAAATTTGAATTAATTACCCGGAAAGCAGACCATCTACACAGATTTCTGTCTATTGCCTACTTATCAAGTTTATCGAAAATTGTGAATAACGGCAGTGACTGCGATAAACAAACATTTTATCCTTCTCATGTTAAGGTTTTAATGTAATGCGTTGTGCGCAACAGGATTCAACCCCCGATTCAACCTGAGACATCTGAATAGATGTTTATAGAGTAAATTTTTCTTGTGAGCAAATTTACGATGATCTGACACACTACGCCTTCAATCCTTTCATCAACGTGTGAAATCGTTCGACTGCAATTGGTGGAACTTGATTCACGAGTGCACTGAATAAACACTGAAAACTATATCCATTCACTTTTAATTTTTCTTACTCTGCTTTCTGTTTGTACTGCATTGGTTTCTTTCAGTCGCAAATACATGTATCATGGAAAACGAAGCTAACGGTTTGACAGACTCCTTCGTGGCCAGACACACTACAGACCCTACCTTACGCTTGGGACTGCTTTTTCGTAATCAAAATGGCTCACGCCATGACCAAGGCACAGGGATGGGGGCAGAGGTAAGAAAAACTGAATACAGCATAGCTTTTAGATGAAGAGAGGGACACTGATATTGCTTTTCTGGAACTACATTGCGGGTCTGCTAGGGCAGGAAGGGCGTTGTAAAAGTAATTTTCAATCACCGAAATTGAAACTGAGATCGCAGCTTTTATTGACTACGACATAAAAACTGGAAAACAACTATGAGTCTGAATAATCCAGAAAAATTTGATCACTCAAACCTAGTCAAAATATTGATTCCCTGCATTACAAAAAGATACTTTAGAAAATGGCAAAATAAACTAACGTAAATCGTTGTTGTTTTTGTTGTCACGGCTGCCCCATGTAAGTGTTTAGCGATATCTTAACAACAAAAATTTTTCCAATTTTTATTTATTTAAAACAAAAACAGCTCATAGATTTATGAGGCATCAAAACACGCATTTCAAGCGGGTAAAATGAGTCTACATCTCCCGTTCGAGGAGTTAGCCATGTAATAAACATTGTTGGAAATTATCTTATTTTGTTTCATTTCTCCAGACTGCCGGGCCAAACAACACTGCTACCGACTCTTCTGCAGCTGGTTCCCCTTCGGCCGAAGTTTTCCTAACAAACTCTCAAGCTTCAAATTTGTTTGCATTGTCTCCACTGAACATAGGGCCTTGGAATGTTGAGTCTTTAGAGTCCACGAGCAACAGTCATCTTGCATTGACGCAAGGAGTAGCTAGAGCAACGGTCCAAATGAACAGGAGAATGCGGGAAAGAGAACAGCGTGAATTGGGGCGGGAACAACTTCAAACGAATCAAGACAGAAGGGAAAGGGAGATTAGAATGTGAAAAAATAGAGAAATGATAGAAAGAGAGAGAAGGGAAATGAGAAGATCTGGTGAATGGAGAGAATGGCAAGAGGCAGGAGAATAATGCAACAAGAGAAGAGATTTGTTAATTGCGTGAAACCTTGTTTCATATTACAATTTTGAGAGGGCTTGTCGCCGGCAATTTTTTCGGTTGAGTTCTAAAAATGATGATCTTTGTTTTTTGCTCATTAATGAACAATTTTTTTAGCTTTTAGCCAAGTCGCAACATGACAAATTTGAGGTAATCCATGAGCACTTTTAGATTTCGGTTTTGCTAAATAATGCTGGTATCGTCGGCTAAAAATAAACATTCAGCATCTCTTATGCAAAACCGGTTGTTACACCAAGATCATATTTTTCGTCAGGTACCTTTAGATACGATTATGTACAATTTTTTCCAAATCTTTCGAAAAAGCAGGAAGTATTGAAATTGATCTATAATTTTCAGTTAAGAAGGGTCGTCCGCCTTTAATACAGGGACCACTTAAGCAACTTTAAGTTTAGATGGAAAAATACCTTAAGTCGAAGACAAGTTGAAATATGCAACAATGGCTCACACATAAAATCAAAGGACCTCTTACTGGAAGACAAAGGCAAATCGCGCAGCTTTGCCGTCTGTAAAGTTTTTACAACTTTAACGAGCTCGTTTATTTGACCGGGATCAAAATGTTGTAGGGGGGAAGACGAGACTGGCCCTAAGTATTTATTAAAGCACTAAAACAATGAGATGATCTTGCTTGCTAGATTTGGGCCAACGTTAGCAAAGTAATGGCAAGACCTGCTTGCAATCTCTTCAGAATCAGTAATAGTCACACGTCTTCCTGTATCAGTGAAATCTTAACAGGGACCGCGCGGCAAGTTTATGAGTGGGGGGCGAAAGAAGAATGCGTGAAGGAGAATTTTTTTGTTAAATTATTTTTTGTTAAATTTATTTTTATTCTTGCAAAAAAAAAGTGGGGGGGCTTCTATTTTTAGCAAGCAGGGCTTCATAGTATTGTTTTTTGTAATTCTTAATAGCCGCGTCAGCTTAATTTTACATGTTTTGTATGTATTCAGTCTATCATATCATCTGAGTGAGGGCTCAGGTATTGTCTGTACAACTTTTTCTTTTGGTTAATGGTTTTAATAATCCCCTAGAGATCCAAGGCTTTTTAATTTTTAGTAAACTCTTTTCCTTTTATGGTATTAGAAGATTCGAAGATTCCTGTATTTTTTTCTATAAATGAGTCATAAGCTATATTTACATCTTCCTTCACAAAACACCAGTCGGTATCACGCAAGGCAATTAAATTCTTTTCTTCGCTTTGTACTTGTATCTCCCAGAACTAAGCCTCTTTTGTCTTTCAGCGGCCTGTTGCGTCCGTCTGAAACAATTGAAATCATAAATGTGGGTTTATCACATCAAGTTCAATCTTTTTATCATCGTTTTCTAGAAAAGCATCATAAAAAACGCGTCGTAGGAAAATTTAAGAAACTGCTGCTCACACTTAACATTTTCCTATTAATCATTGTTTGATCCCCTGTCAAGGAGATGGATTCCTTTTCCAATTCCCTTCTGTATCAGTCTTTGTCTCGTAGGCTACGAATGTTCGCGGAGCGTGTTACTTACTTGAGGCTAACATTACACTTCAAGCATCACACCTGACAACATGGCCTTATGCCAAAAACTATGCTCAAAATGTTTCATCACGCTCAATTTAATGATTTAAAACAAAGAGTCTTTTAAGAGTCCCTCAACCTCCCTTCCCTATTCCTTCTACCAAAACAGCTAAAACTTGCTGAGAATATAATGATTACCAAAGTTCAGTACATAACATCTAACTGGATCAAATTCTTGAAGTGCAAACAAGATTAGCAGGCTTAGTGATGACACTATCCAGGTTACGTAATTTATATATTGTTGAACATCAAGGGAATTTATAAGAAGTTTAGTAAGTATGAAAAGTGAGACAAGCGCTTTGTCTGATCGAAATCTCTCAACCAAGCAAACCACTATTACTTTCGGTAATTTATTCCCGGCCACCAGGGATTTAGTTTCAGTGTTATATATTGGTTGGTGAGTTTTCTAAGTGGAGCCTTCCAGCTGAAATTTCATAACAGAGTGGAGCTGCAAAGCTAACCTTCTTGGTATACAAGACTAAGACTCGTTGATTTTAACATGTATAGCAATGGATTTGAGTTGCAAGGCCACCCTAGAAGGCTTAATTTTAATTTAAAATGTTGAACGATAATTAGACTCGATTCGCACGTTATTTGAACTCTACTTAGAGTTTCCTTGGTGCAGTTGGGTTATAATCTAGAATCTAGTCTTGGCACGTTGTGTATTTTAATAATGCGCCTGAGCACTTTCTGCTTTATTAAAATAAACCTTTGACCTGGGAAACCTTATGATGCAATCATTTCTGTTTCGATCACATGACAAAATTTTCAACTTTCGATATCAGCCCGCTAAAACAGGAACCTATCCTGAACTGGACAACAGCTCAATCAAGTTCAACCAGGTATGGCTAGAATTTTCCTAATGATTCTTCAGATGATTACGCCCAAGAGATGTGTGTTTACAAGTGACGCAATTGAACTGGAACTTGATCATCTTACAATCTTTAAGACAAATGATAAGAAAGTCACCAGATAAGTTTTAAATCAAGGGGGAGGTTGAACAAACGTAACGCTTTGAGATTTTTCAGTTACTGTTGAAAGTCTAAATTCCTGTGTAATGCAGAAGACAATGCTGATCATTGTGTATGTAACATAATGTTAAATCGAAATGCACTCATGGGTAAGCGTTTGGAGGAAAAATAAGCTATGTGTTCTTAAAGTTACATGCACGTGATTTCGGAGAAGGCAAGGAACAGCTTAAGATCCTAACGGATTACTTGTTTGCTTTTAACCGCCTTCCAAACTACTTCCGCATTTAGTAGTAGTCGAGATATACTGTATACAAGGCATACCTTGCTATGCATGTCTGTAATAAATGTTATGATCATGATCATAACCGCCCCCAACAGCCTCCAGATTCATATACACATAAGCTCGTTGATAGCAGAGATGTATTGCTTCAGAAGCCTAACTCGCGCTGTACGTATATAATATATATGCTTTATTGGAAATGAATTAGATGTAGGTACGTTCCTCTTGACTACTTGTGGTCTACTTCCATTTTGAGCTATCAAACCATGACCAAATTAGAACGCATTTCGATTGACTAGTGAAACCAAAACTTTAAAAGTACTTAAGTCGCTCAGTATAAAACCAAGATGCTTTAGGTGCGTGATACGAAGATGACCAAGACGTGATTATCGTCAATTTTAAGTCTGATAGGCTGAGAATCACTCAGCAGAGTGCAATCCCAGATTACTTTCGACACTTGTCTTAGTATGCGAGCATCAATCGACGGATCATTATATTTTGTTATATTCGAGTGGTTGTCGATAAGTTTGTTTTACCGTAGGGTCACAAACTTTCGAGGTTGAGATCGCGATGATTGCCATAATTTATCTCTAACGAAAACTAAACTTCGACGTGGTCGATCACGGCTTCATTCCAGTTGCTGCAAAAAATGTTTCATAATAGAGTACAAAGATTGCATGAAGCAAGTACAAATATCATACGATACTTGGACATTTGGTTACTTACTGTAGTAATGTAAAAAAAAAAAACAAAAAAAAACTACTTAATCGGTCGGTTGAAAGTGCTACGCTTCTCTATCTGCTTCGCTTTTCCCGCCTTGTAAGAAATGACAAATAACTTATTATATGTTTTGCTGTGTGTAGCATCGCTGAATAGTTTTAGTCGTTGTGTGTATTTCGACTGACCATCAGGTACGTAAAAATAAAATATAAAAAATATTCAGCGATACGACACACCAAAACGTCTGATGAGATATAAATCCTGCACTTCGTAACAATGAGTTATTCCATTAGACTTTTAGAAGCTTCAGTGAGTTAAGAGGAGAGAATCATCCTTCTCAAGAGTCCTTTATGTCGCCACCTGAAAAACGCAGGAAGCCAACCGCAAAAAAGCCTTTTTTATCTCACCGTTAATGAAGTGGAATTCAGGGGCCACATTTCAAGAATAATAATGTTTTCTCGTGATTACCCGAAATCAAAGCGAGATTGGCTTACCGAGCAGGCAGCATTTCTTTTTTGCGTTTTTCAGAGAAGTGGAGGCAAGCACGAGGCAAACGCGAGGCAGAGGCGAAGAGAGGAGCTCTTCTCCTCGCGTGCATCTATCCTCCCCCTCCCCTCCCTTTCCCATTAGCGTTTGCCTCGCGCATGGCTCTGACGCCTCAACAACGAAATCGAAATTTTTCAAATTACAAAAAATCAATGATCAATGACCTCAAACCTAGAGGGGGATCCTTCCGGTACATTTCGCATTCAAATTGATCGCGTTAACTTGATACTGTTTGACGAATACTAGACAGCCCAACGCCACAAAAATACTGGAAGCTGAGGTAACTATCAATCGTTTCAAGCTACTCAGTCAAGAATTAGGTGAACATAAGATGGAAATTTTATTTACCTTAATTTAATTCTCTTTGACTGGCATTAGTTTGTGAGATAACAGTGTCTTCTGTGTTATAATGGTTCAATGAACAATGAATTTTCGTATAAGCCAGCATTGCTGTTTTCTGGACGATCACTGTTTGTACCTTTTATGCATAACCAGAGTAATGAAACAATGCTGTGGGAACCAAAAAGATATTTGAACGACTCTTAGTCTGTTCCAAATTTATAATTTCTTTGGAATAAAAGACAGGTATGAAGTGAAATCATCTTCAACATGTCTCCTCCAAGTTTCCAGGGTATCCAGCTAGAAGATTGCTTTTGAAAGGTGATAGACAAAACACTGACTCAGTCCACAGTCTACCCCGATGGAATATTCAAATGTACTACCCTAAAATGAACTAACCTAACAAAATCCTTTTTCGAATGAATTCTATTGAAAGCACCACCTCCCATAAAGTTACTTTGCAGGCGCCTTCTTTGTTTTCTTCAGTCGATGCAATAAATAAGTGGACGGGCTTAGTTTGTATGCTATCCTTGCTTCTGGTACACATCAAAGTTCTTGTTTTGGCTAACGCAGTTAGAAAATGACTCAGTTGATTGGAAGCATTATGGTCAGTTCATTTCGAAAGTCTCTTGAAGATGTTTGGTTTAGTTTTCTAACAACAAATGTTTAATCTCACAAGGTCAGCCAGCTGGCATGCCCACCCATATCGCTCAGTAGTGAATATATCGGCATGTTTTTATAGAACTTACTTAGGAGAGGGGAGTGGAGAGAGACTAGAGTAGACTGGGAGAATTTAAACAGCGTGGAAAAGTGTAGAGACAAAATTCCGTAGTTGAAGCAAGTGTTTAATAGCACAAGCCGGTAAGAATTAAAGGGTCTAAGAAATCAACCAGAGTTACACAGAATGAAATAAGCTTGGATGTTGGTAGAATTGTGTACTGGAGAACCGGGTAATTAAAGAAAAAAGTCAATAAGACAGTTCGGGAGTCTTTGTGCCTTTCGCCGAGCGTGGTGTGCTCGATAGCTAATTTCCCGACATTTTATAGGGTAAAATACTTGGTGGGCAGTTTAGTCGTAACATTATTTTGCATGAAACTCTGTGTTCCGTAGAGCCACTAATCTCCTTCGTAACCGTTCTGTGACTCGTCACGCAACGCTTTTACTAGCCGTTTGCGGAAAGGAGCGTTGCGTTACGAGTCCCAGAACAGCTGCGAAGGAGATTGTAGGCTCACTGTCATATACCAGCAAACTCCAAGATGATGGCGCTTTTCAGGAAAAAAGAACGCCTTGAATCTGCTCTTCGGCTTGCCACACACGCTGATTGAGCTATTTTTAAGTCGATATTTGGTGTCAGTTTTTTGCCTTGGAATGTTTATGATGCTA